TATATATATATTTGTTTTGACATGATGTGCAATAATAACTGAAAAGGATAAAAGTTTGTAATGATATAAATTTTTGTGATTAATTAAGAAAATATAGACAAATTACATAATTATAAATAAATTGATGAGGCAATCTATCTATGTCCTCCAGTCCCACATGTTGGTCTTCGTCGTTGTCGTTGGCCTCTCCTTTGTTGTTGTTGTTGTAGTGTGGGACTTTGCGTGTGTTGGTCTTCATCTCTTGGATGACTTTCATTGGATTGTTGAAGGTATTGGAAATCAAGGGTCGGTCGATACACGTTTTGTGACGAAGAAGCGTGTTGGTATGAAGATGGTGGAGTCATTGTCGGGGTTCCAAAATAATTGGAAGGACCTCCACTAAAAGATGATGGACCTCCACTAAACGGTGTTGATGGTGGAAAGGCAAAATAAGAGGTCTCAACCTGAGGATATGTTGATGTTGGTGGGATGTGTTGTTCGAACGTTGAATTCAGAGATGGGTGTTGATAGTTGACATGGTCAGAAGCAGACCTTTGTGGATCATGATACGGTGGTGATGCACGGTATGCAGATGGCGGTTGGAACTATTGTTCGTGCTCCATGTCATATTGCTTAAGACAATGTTTGATTGAAGATCGCAAGATAATAAGGCTTTCATAATTTAAAAGGTGGGGATATTGTAGTACCTCTTCGTTGGTTGAATCTTCTATGAGAGCAATATAGCGGATTGTATGAGTTATATACCATTTCATGTACTCGGATTCATCTTGCAAGTGACCATTTTTTTGGAATGGAATACCGTTGAATTCATGATTATGCCGATCATTCCATAATGCAATCCACTGTTGATGGTGTTCTTGCCAATTCCAATCTGCGCGTCCTCTCATATCCTGTTTATGTTGCTCATCTAGATTCATCGGTGGATGGGGTACATTTTTGTCGAAATCCAAATTGACGCATCACACGGTCTGATTGTTGGTATTGTACAACAGAGAAACATATCAGAGGCACAACTTCCTGACAAGTCGGGGGCACTTCGACTGGAATGATTTGACAAATGTCATCATGTTTGTACGGTGTCCATATAAACGGAAGTATTGATGTTTTGGGTTAAAAACAAATTAAGCCAAATTTGAAAAAAATATATACACCAATATTAAGTGCAGAGGTCAAAAATACCTGTCTAGGTGATAGGTCGTCTAACTTTTGACGAAATTGTTGTACAGTTGTCGTGTCATGGAATATTGACTGTGTTGTTCGACACCATCTTTTCGCCAGGGGAAAAACTGCACCAGAAGAAATGTCTTCTTTTGTGACTTCTAGTATTTGTGGGGAAATACATGTTATTCTTTCTCATGCCCAACATTGTAACAAGATCATGCACCCTCCGATATTGTCTTGGTCAACCCTAGTCCCATGATCAAGGGCACAATACAAGCAGGAAAGCACTACGGATGCCCAACTATACTGTGAAACGTTCTGCAGGTCCGCCAAAAGGGGTAGATACATCAAATGCACCATACTTGCAGATGTATCTGGCATCATGATGCTGCCAATTATCATCAACATATACGCTCTAGCGTATTGTTGAATAACCTTATCTGTGGCATCATGAGGCAAATGTCGAAAAGTGTTATTCAGCCAAGACAATTTAATTCTTTTGCCTCTGACACTGTTCTCAGGAGGAACATCTCCTAGTAGTTGTTGACAAAAACATGTTAGAGGACCACTACTGATGCCAGTGACAGCATGACCTTCAATTGGAAGCCCCAGTTGTAGTGCAACGTCTTCCAATGTTATAGTACTTTCACCAAGAGGGAAGTGGAAAGTATGAGTCTAAACTCTCCACCTCTCAACCAAAGCAATCACTAACTGGTGATTTATTTCCATATTTGACGCTTTCAAAATATGGGTAAACCCCGCTGCCTGTAGAATATTCATGATTCTTTCATCAAGTTCGTTAACATGCTTTGCTATCCAGATTGCATGTCTTCGAGGGCAAATAACTCGTTCATTGTCTTCCCAAATTGCCTTCACAATGTGTTTGTCTTGTAGACGTAGAAGGGACATATCAACGGAAAGTTGACGGGTAGAAGCCATTTTGAATTTTTTGGGTGAAACTGGGATGTAAAAGCAATGAAAAAAAATTAAGTGCTTTGGCTATTGGAACAAACAATTCGAAAGGAAAGCATGCAATGGTAGTAAGGTTCCTCCACCAATTTATGGACAAGCATTGATGTCCATACAAGGACAACTTCACGTGCTTCAGTACATGGGATGCACAATTCCAAATCCAAATGAGTGGTCTTCATGAAGGAATCTTGAAATCTGCAAAGGGAACAGAGGCATGCAAATGAATAGGAAAGCATGCATAATGAATAGCACACCGAATGTTGATGGTCAGAACCTAAGGTGAAGTACATATGTACAACGTCAATTAAAAATCATCACACATAATGTTAATGAATAGCAACAAATATTTTTTTTCTTTAAATAAAATTTATTTAAGTTTGTAAAAATATTTTTCATTTTTTAAGCATTTTATTGGAGTCAAAAACTAATTTTTGTAATTCAAAACTATGCAAATTAAAAAAAATGGGAAAAGGGAAGTTGTGGGGAGGGTGCACGACTTCAATAGGTGAAGTCGTGTACCCCCTCCACGACTTCACTTTTTCCAGTTTTTTTAATTTAAATCCTATTTAAAAAATTTTATTTTTTCAGATTTACATTATTCAAAAACTAAATTATTTTTATACATCTTAGTAGTACATTATTTATTTCTTAACAACAAAAAAAAATTAGTCTCTCAACATCTATAACTAATACAAAAAATGTGTCATGAAAAGCTTATGATATATCAAAGCACTGAATGCATGCAACCCTATATACATATATGACACTGCTATATTGTCCAGTACTCCCTACTTCAAACTGTAACACCCACTTATCAGAAAGTAACCTTCACACTTGAAACTTCATTATATATATGAGTCTTTCACCAATCCATCTTCTCATCCAAACTTCACTGCCAACAGCTCTCATTCTACTCCAATCTTATTTTTTCTCCCGCACATCTATAACCTTATGGCATCGGGGAACTTTCCACCATCTTCATCATCGCAAATCATCGACGAACAACCTTTGATATTAGATAATGTTGATGAGTTCAGCACCGATGATGAATTAGACAACATACTTGAAGATGACAACAAAGACGACCACATCACACAATCATCTGAACATGTCATTCCAGAGTTGAATGAACGTATGCAGTTCTAGTCAAAGGATGAAACTATTGTTGCAATCAAACATTATCACATAACCAACGGTTACAAATACACCATCATTGAATCAAAGCCCAACATTTATTTTATTCGTTGTGTGGAATATCACAACGGTTGTCAATGGCGTTTGAGGGCAGCTTATAGGAAAGTCCGTAAATATTGGGAAATCAAGAATATCCACGGACAACATTCGTGTTTCTCAACCATACTATCTCAAGATCATACAAATGTTGATAGTACTCACATTGCCGCGATCATATCAAATTCAGTCCGAACAAACCCATCCATTCCAATCAAGAGTTTGATTGCAGATATTAAAGCTCGATTCGGATATTTTGTGTCATACAGAAAAGCTTGGATCGCTAAACAAAAGGCTCTTGCTATGGAGTTTGGAGACTGGGAAGACTCTTATAACCACATGCTGAGGTGGTTGCATGCTGTCAAGGATGCAAACCCAGGTACAATTTTACAATGCACTGGTTCTCCAGTGCAGATTGATGGACAAACCGACAATAATTGCTATATTATGGAAAGAGTTTTCTGGTCTTTCGGTCCTTGCATACAAGAATTCAAATACTGTAAACCCATTCTACAAGTTGATGGTACGTTTCTAACGGGTAAATATCATGGAACTTTGCTCACCGCCATAGGTCAAGATGGCAATAGAAATCTTTTTCCATTGGCCTTTGCCATTGTAGAAGGTGAGACAAAGGAGGCCATGATATGGTTCTTTCAACTACTTCGAGAACATGTTTGCCCTCAACAAAATATTTGCATCATCACTGACAGAGGAAAGGGTATCCTATCGGCCTTAAGATCGGAAGAAGTTGGTTGGGAACAAGATGGTTTGAACTCTGTTTATTGCATACGTCATCTAGCATCCAACTTCAACAACAAATTCAAAAATCATGACCTCAAAAAACAATTCATCAATTTAGGTACTACTACAAACATTTTTAATACACTTTTACTTTTATAATTTTGTAACATTATTCTAAACTTTATTTATTTATTACGTCATTACAGCTTACGAGGTCAAGCAACCAACTGTCACGCCAAAACTTACTGCACTAAGAAACCAATACCCACAACAAGTTGATTGGATAGATAAAATCCCATTAAAAAAAATGGTCTCAGGCTTTTGATGGAGGGAGAAGATATGGACATATGACCACTAATCTTGCTGAGTGCACCAACTCCATTTTAAAGGGAGCACGTTCATTACCAATATGTGCTCTCATCAGAACAACATTTGAGAGGACACAATCATGGTTTGTTGAACTAGGATTAAAGGCGAACTATATGCTACAAGAAGGCCACCAATTTCCTGAACAAATCGCCGACATCATTAGGAAAAATCAACATCAATCCGCATTTTGTCATGTTCATCGTTACAACCGTGAAAATTCTGAATTTGATGTTCAGGAAATTTCAACACCTCATCACTACCGCCATGTTCCACTTTCCTATAAGGTCAACCTAAATGAATGGTGGTGTGATTGTGGTCACTTCCAGGCTACTTGTCTCCCATGTCATCATGTCATTATTATTTGTGCATTTTCGCATATCCCACTAACCCAAGTAATCGATCCAGTGTACAGTCTTAACAACATTTTCAAGGCATATGAAGTACAATTTCACCCAATCCAAAATCAAGATTATTGGTCTGCGTATACAGGTCCAAACTTCATACCAGATCCTAAAATGTGACGCAAGGCATCCAGAAGACCATCTACAAATAGGATTCATAATGAAATGGATCAATCCAATCCAGATAAGCCAAACAAATGCTCTTACTGCTGCAACGAAGGTCATCATAGGGGAAATTGTCCATTTCCTCATTAGTTATTTCTTAATCTTACCCAATTATAATCAAATTGATTATTAATATATTACTATTAATATTTCTTATTAATAATTTTTTTCTCTTTTCTTCAAATTTGTCTTCATTCATTAAATAATAACCACAATTTCTTTTTTCGTATAACACAAGAAATACATAAAATATGTAAACTACAAAATCATTTTCAAAAACCAACCAAAACACACTGGTAATCGATTACAAAAAGCTTGTAATCGCTTACCAGGGTGGTTCTTGAACACTTAAAACACTGGTAATCGATTACAGAAGTGTCGTAATCGATTACCAGTAGCATTTTTGTCTACTGCAATGAAGTCGTGTAGGGAGGTCACAATTTCAACACTTTGTAATCGATTACCAGTATATTGTAATCGATTACAGGATCCAGAAGTCGTTTTTGGGGTACACGACTTCACCACTGGTCAAATGCACAGTGTGAAGTCGTGTAGGGGGGGCACGACTTTTTCATTTGAAGTCGTTTTGGCCCCATGACTTCATATTTGGTTAAAATTTGCCCATTTACTTAATATTCTAGGCAAATATGCCTAGTTTGGTGCAAAAGCCCAACATCAACTAATTCCTGCACCAACTTTCTGGTGGCTACACATGACAACTAAGCTCTTGTTTCTTATATATGTGTCAAATTCGTTTTGAACTATAACTAACACTAGTAAAAAAAGTGGATTTAAGCTCGCACATTACGCTTCGGTTTTGTCAAAACCGAAGCGTATTCAAACGCGGTGGCATTTCTGTAATT